GACGGACGTGACCCCGGAGTTTACAGGGTTTTAACACATGAAATCGATGCAGTCGATTTGGCAACAACCGCGACTGACATTTACCCACGTGACGATTCTGAGCCTGGTTGAAGAAATGATATTTTTAACAGGAAAAAACTACGACTTTTGCTGATTTTTTTCAACTCGATGTTTTTCTGTCCGATGGAGAAAAGTTGAACCTTTCTCCTCGGACTCTTAAATTATTATTAATATATTTTTTAAAGTTTTCCTTCCATTCTCCCGCTTTCTGGAGATGATAATCCATCACAACCCACTTTAATCCAACCAGGATTTTCTTGCCCCCTGATCGTAAGATTATTTATACAGATAATGTAAAATAAAAAAGGGAAAATCTGACAGAAAATCAATCACTTTATTTAGTTTTGTATTAATGAGTAAAGAAGAAAATAAATCTGATTCAGAAAAATAAATAAATAACCAGATATTCTACCGCCAAACACCGTCAGAATTATTTACGTCACGTGTTTGAAATCCTTCCATTTATCAACTGTTTTATATCGTGTCCAGATCGTGAAGTCATTTGTTTATTTTAGTGAATCTCTGACGTCACATACTATTTGATGAATTATACAGTAAAGTCGACACACGTTTTCCTTCTGACCGCAGGAACAAAAATGCGACTCATCTGTGGGTCCGGAGCCAGTGTTTGAGAATTAACCACCGTTTTTTACTCATTTGTTTGTTTTATTTATTCGTTCATTTAACGCAGACACAAACACACACTGACACACGGTCGGTAAAGTGATGGTGACGTCACACTAGTTTAAAAACACTCGTGTCTCGTGTTTTTTTTTACTTTTTTTTGATACAACTTCATGTAAATCTTTGAATTTAATTTAATTTAATCTGTGGGTTTAACGTGTGTGTGTGTGTGTGTGTGTGTGGTTTGGAGGAGGAAACACTGGTCACAGCGATGAGTGAATGTATATGAAGTCAGTACATAATGCACACACACACACACACACACACTCTCTCTCTCTCTAAGGTGCTTCAACTTTTCAACAAGTTTCAAATAAATTCCAGAATCTTCCTCAGAACTTGGTGGAAACTTGGAGTTTGATTGGAGGAAGTTTTCCTTCATGACATTGACATTTACCATTAATTATTAATTAAAAATCAATTATTTACTCATCGTGTTTTTTTGTTTTTTGTTTTTTTTTTGTTTATTTTGTTTTTTTGTAGAAGGATGTAAAATAACCAATCAGCTGTTTCAGATTTAATGACGACGTCACTCTGACGTCGTGACTTTCATCCCGTGTTTGAAAACTCGTTTTTGTCACATCGACCAAAGTTGTTCTCACTTTGAAAATAATAATAATAATAATAAACAAAATATCGACCAATTAAACATCGACGAGGAAAATATCGACCAATAAAACGTCGAGCTTCTAAAGTGACGCGGTTTCTGGACGTGAAAAGAGTTTTATTTGAATTAGGAACCGATTTGATCCGAACTCTTCGTAGTTCTGCTGCTGAGTAATCAGTTTTACATTTGAAATAAAAACAAACAGAAAAATACTGTAAATGTTCCTGTCAATGGATTTAAATAATGGGAATTAAACCAGTGTGTGTGTGTGTGTGTGTGTGTGTGTGTGTGTGTGTGTGTTACAGGTGCTGGGTCAGTGGAGGAGGTAAAAAAAATCTACATAACATTACCATCTGTTAAACTTCAATCTACCCAATAACAC